TGTATGTGCAACAACAATGGTTACAGCACTTCTACACCTGTCATCCACAGATTTTGTTTTTTTATTTCGTTTTTTCTTCGTTCGGTTGGTCTTGCCGAAACGTTTCTAGAACCGGTCTCTGTTTTTCATACCGACGAACACTCGTTCTAGGACGCCGTTCTCCGGCATTTAACGGAAGGCGCCACAGACGCATCCCCACAACAGAGACGAGGCCTACACACTGCTGTAGACCAAGGCCGGCCAAAGGCACACATCATTGCTGGCGTCGGAAGCTATTTTTAGATCCCGAGGCCTACTGCTAGCAGCGTAAGCGAGGGAACACGCTAGCGCACACAAGTCAGATCGCTGTCTGCGGTCTCTTCGTCTGCCGGCCGATCATTGCTTCCACATCAGACGCACTCCGAAACAGAGACAAGTGAGACGTACACAGCGCTGTAAGCCAAGGGCGACCAAAAACACACGTCGTGGGAGCGGCCCGAGCCAACTTTTAGAGCCCGTTGCCCGCTGCTAGTAGCGAAAGCGACGAAAGCAAGTGCGTACCCATGCACAGCAGCAGAGGCGGCAGCAACAGCAAGCAGCAGGAGCAGCAGCACTGCTGCCGTTGAACTGATGATGATTAGCGCTAAACAGCGCTCCCATTCATCCCATGACTGACTGGTGGTATCGGGTGAGGTGTGAGCGTGCGCAATGGTGACCTACGTGGTGGTGGTGTAGGCTCCATCCATATCTATCTACGCTTGCTTTGATGTCTCTCTCCGACCCTTCTTTTCGCGCGAAATATTGAAAAGACTATACGGGTTCCACCTCGGGAAAAAACGCGCGAAAAAAAAAGTGTTCGCCAACAAAACGTGTTTCGAGGTTCCGCCGCGCCTTTTCGTACGAATTTCTGCAGTCCAGCTCGTCTGTTTTTTTGCCATTCTAGGGATTCCACCTAAAAAACGCACGAAAAAAACGCGTTCGGAAAAAAACGCGTTTCAGAAAGTGACGGTTGAAAAATCGTGTTTCGCTCTCTCCCTGCTATTAATAGTGCCGGTTGGAACCCCCCCCGTGCTCTTGATATTTTTTCGGACATCCACATTAGTACCCCCTCTTTTTATTTTTTTTTCGCAAACACGGAACACGCGGCGGCGTGATTTGGCGTGAGGTTGGCACGCGCGTTGACGTCCTGAAGCAAATGGCGCGCCTACAGCGTGGTAAGATTCGGCATGAGAGGTTTGGCCAAATCGTGCAGATGATTACGGCGACTCTGCTGTGTGCGGTGGCTGGAGAGGAGGAGCTTTTCCTCGTCCTGGCTTTAGTGGCAATGCGGCATCTCCAAGCGTACGAGCAGCTCGCAGCATCTACCACCCATCCATGCGGGCGTCTATCCCTACTATGATTTCATGGAAGTCATCGGGGGGTTCGACTTCAAGGAGCTCTTCAGGTTCGAAAAAGCCGACTTGATCCTTATGCTGGACTTGCTGGAGCTTCCAGCGTAGTTGGAAATCACCAGGTAGGTGCGTTGAGCACAGAAGTTGCGCCGCAGCTGCGTCGCCGCTGTTAAAGATGGACGTCTACCCGGACAAGGGTAAAATATGCGTAGAGTTGGTTAGCCTCATTTTCTACGCAGAGCGCTGCTTTCCCAGTATTCTGGTGTGCGCACAGCATTGGAGTGGTGTGGGGGAGGACTGCCGCTGAAAAGTGTACATTCGTCTCGTCTACATTGCACGTACGTGTGTCAAAGCGACCGATGAGAAAGTTCCATTCCGTTGTCCGGTATGGATGACGCACATAGCCGACCGATAATCCTCGGTTATGAGGATTTTGCGCAGATAGAGGGTATGCAAAAGAACGGCTGTCGTCATTGTTATACTCGAGAATGGATTGCATGTTCTCGCGGCTGTACAGAGTCGCGGAGGAGGTGAGATACTCCCCGCTGCTGGGGACTGACACGAGTGCTGCGACTTTCAGAGAAGCTGGCTGCGTGTCCATCCCGATGTGAAGATCGTATGGTAACACCTGACAAGTACGGCATCCATTTGTCGTCCTTCCCTTTTTCAATGGTGGTGGGGCCTGTTGTTTCGTCTCGTCATTGCAGGGGCGGGTTCGGGATGTCACGCTTCCCCACGGAGGTGTCGTTTGGGCTGACGCTGTGGCGATTGGCTTGTCCCACGACGCTGCTGCGAGACCGGCTGTTTTGGGGGATTGGAGAGGCGATGATGTGCGAGATCTTTAACCTGAAGATAGAGGCGATCTACGAGCGGTGGGGGCATCTGGTAGACCAGTTGCAACACGAGGCTATCCTTCCCAACGTAGATATTTTCTGTGCGGCCATTCACGCAAAAGGTGCTCCTCTAGATCGCCGTTGGGCCTTCATAGATGGCACAATTAAGGCAATCGCTCGACGTTCGCGTAAGCAGAGGCTCTGGTATAACGGTTGGAAACGTAAGCACGCTTTGAAATATCAAGCAGTCGACACTCCAGATGGCATCATCAGGCAGTTGTGGGGGCCGATGCTTGGTCGCCGCCACGATGTATCTCTATTAGGCGAAAGCGGGCTTTTGCAGTACATGCAGCAGTGGTTTAATGACGCAGGAAACCCGTACTACATTGACGGGGATCCGGCATTTCCTCTGTCGCCGTGGTTGATAATCGGATACAAAGGGCTGTTGACTCAAGAGCAGCGAGATTTCAATTCGGATATGAGCTCTTGTCGTGTGACGGTAGAGTGGGGTTTCGCCAAGGTCGTGGCCCTGTGGCCTTTTGTCGACTATGCCAAAAAGCAACAGGTAGCGTTATTTGCCTGTGGTCTGGGCAAACGGTACAGTGTAGCCGGCCTGTTGACCAACTGTCGCTCCTGCCTCTACGGTAATTCCACGTCGAAATTTATTGGGGTTCGCCCACCGACTCTGGAGAGGTATTTGTCAGGGGAGGGATAGACTACCATTGTGCAGGTGCACGATCGGGGATAGGGGGAGGGAAGGGGTGGGTGGGTCTGGGTGTGCGATTGTGGACGTGGATGGGCCCAGAATAGACCGAAGGGTTCGTGAATGCCGTTCCCGCAGTGCCAGGGTGTATTGCGGGCGAAGAATGATGCCAACTTTTTGCTGAGCCGGTTAGTCTAGACCTCATGTTGTCGAGTGATACGTAGCATTCCTGAACACTTTGCAACAAAAAGTAGAGTGGAATCCGACTGGTGCGTCCATATTGCTAGCCTTTTGAGTGGTACACGTCGAGAGGCACGCACCTACATGCTCTAGTATCCAACCACGAATGGACAAAGTTTCCCAACCCGGGCGGGTTGTTTTACCAGACAAACATCAACCATGTCATTTTTCCATCACCAAAAATAGTACCCTTAGTAGTACATGGCTGAAATTGAACCAATGGGAATGACCGTGCCTTCCTTGCCTGCAAACGTCCAGTGACGAAGCATGAGCCGTGGCAGTTTGGCGGGAAGGATGAAAAACGAACAAGAGCGACACAAAAAGCAGCAACCAGCGAGGTGTGGATCCAACAAATCCAACAGATGACATCTAAACCCCGCGCGTGATCGGGAGGTAGACAGAAATACGACTCAGAAAGCAACCACAACGTAACGTTCGTGCCTAAGCATGAAACTTGCGTAGAAACAAGTGGAGGCGTGACGCTGGGTAGAAGGGACGGAAGAAAGGGACACAACGTAATGCTACACCGGCCCCATCGGCCCCATCGGCCTCATCGCTGAGATGCCAAAGAGTAACCCCCGCCCCAACACGGTTGAGAACAGGGATATCAAATCAACCCCTCCACGGGATACTCCCTACAGAAAAAAAAAAACAGAGGACAAAGGCAAATGCATCCGTTAACGTCTGAGCCCTCAGAAGTTGCCGTTCCACGGAGGCCTGTTGGCCAAAGCATTCCCGGCAGGCGCAACCGACCCCTCCAGTCCTCGACCATTCCCGCCATCGCCGCCGCCCTGCCGCCCCTCTGTCGCTTCACACCTGTTCCAGGACCTGTCCCCCCATGTTCCCTGGTCCGACGCCCGACCCGACGCACCAACTCCACCGGCGAGAGCAGAAGGTCTCCCGACAAAGCCAGGCAAGCCCTTCCCCGCCCCTCCCGTCCCGGCAGCCTGAGATACATCTCCACGGGGTAGCCGTGAACCGTCGGCAGGTGCCGAGCTCCAACACCTGAACCTGCAGCTGATCCATCTTGCACTCCCGCCCCGCGGTCATGCACGCCCCCCACCTCGGGACCCGACGGTGCCTGCGCCGGCCCCGCGCCCCCAGCATGCGCGCCTTGCGCACCTGCGCCGACAGGAGCCGCCCTCGCACCGAAGGCCCCAGGCGGGAACGGGGGTGCACCACCTGCACCGGGACCCGCCTCACCCGGCACACCCTGAACCCCGACGCCCGCTCCGCCCGCATGTGCGCCTTTCGCACCTGCGCCGACAGGAGCCGCCCCCGCACCGAAGGCCCCAGGCGGGAACGGGGGTGCACCACCTGCGCCGGCACCCGCCCACCCACCACCGTAAGAGCCCCCCGCTGTCCCGACGCCGTAGCCGGAAGTAGGGTATGCTCCAGAGACCATGCCCGGGTATGAAGCCCAGGCATACGGTGGTGGTTGAGCGAGCGCTTGCTGTCGCTGTTCGAGGAGCATCTTCTTGATGTCACCGAGGCTATCCTCCAGCCTTGAGATGCGGGCGGCGTCGACGCTCGTGCCCCGCTGGGCCATGGACTTGGCAGCAACGTTGATGAGTTTTCCGAGACTGTCCGTCAGACCGCCTTGGTTCGCCATTGGGTCGCCGACCCACTTCTCCTCTCTGTGACCCGTCCAGATCCCCGTTCGAAAGAAGCGTCGCTTCCGCATCCTCCGCCGCACGTTTCTTAGCGGCAGCTTCCTCCGCAGCGCTCTCTTCTTCGGAATCCGAGCTCCCACCGGCATCTCCGGCGTTCCCTCCCTCTCCGCTGCCGCCATCCTCCTCCACCAAATCGTGGAAAAACTCGGCCTGACGGAAGTCTTTGTACCGCGCACCGCTCGCACCTTCGCACGTGTCGCCGGACAGTTTGACTTGTCGCCGGACCTTCACCGCTGCTGCCGTTCGCGCTGCCTTCACCAGAGCCCCTGATGGTCTTCTTTCCCTTCTTGGTCTTCTTGACCCTCTGGGACTTCCCTTGTCCGAGTTGCTTGTCCCTTGCCCCCTTGGCCTGGTTGGTCTGCTCTTTGGTGACGCTCCCCCTGCCAATCTTGTTCTCGTGAGCCACGTTCATCGCGTTGATCGCCTGCCACTTGTAGAACACCTGATACCACGACAAATCGGAAATTAAACGAAGGACACGGAGGAGGCGCATTGTCCGCAAGCACTTGACGTGTTGCCGGATTCGCCCATGCTTCTGTTCGTGATAAGTTGCTGCTGTGTGTGTCGACAGAGTAACGTAGCACAATTTGATTGGACAGTTTTGAATTGCGGGACTGTCGGCGTTGCAGACTGCCGAGTAGCCATATATTATCAGGACAGCGAGGAACGTTCTGTAGGAATGTTCTTCGTGGATAGTGCATCACCCCGAGGATTTATGGTACGTTGATAAGTACGGTAGCCCCTGTTGAGTCGTTGTGTTCCGATATTATTGTGTTCCGGTATTGTGTTCTGCTTTCGTGCGTTGGTCGAGCGACGGGTGGTGCTGTGGTGCTGTGGTGCTCGCCCCACCCTTGCTCACTCTACCTTTTGACCTGTTCTCCTGGTCCAAGGTCTCATTAATACAACATCTTTTCCCCAGAAGCCACGAGTTTACCAACACGCTATAGCGACATCGGTCGACTGCTGCTTGTCCCCTCGGACTGTACGTCAAGACTGAACGGAGGAAGATTGATCACCTTGCTTCGTGATGAGTGGGCTTGCTGGGGATCATGAGGATGACCCACCTCCGGGTGATTCGCAGGGTGTTATTGGTGGTGAGAGACTGGATTCGATTGAGACACAGTTGTCCCAGCTCACGAGCGTAATCAAGTCGCTTGTTGGGCAACGAGGTGATCAGGTAGAGTCCTCTGTTTCATTTGCTGCTGCGCCGGGAAGCGGCGGAACAGAGTATGCTGGTGTGCATCAATCGGATGTCACTGGCAGGACTGCGGGAGGTACGGACAGTAGTGCCCAAGGCCTTGGCATGTCCAGCGTGGGAGTTGGAAGTAGTGTTGCAAACACAGGCTTGAACTCGCATGATACTGCTGTTAACCGTTCTTCTGCTGGTGTCACAAGCTTTGGTTCGGTTGGGATGGGAAGTAGGGCTTTAGGTAGCCAGTCTTTCATTCCAGGAATGGGTAGTGGGGCTTTCAGTAGCCAGTCTTCTATTCCACCCGCACCTACCGCTTCGAGTAGGTGGTGGGAAAATGTCGCCAGTGGAACCACATTGATTCCTGGGGCTGGCATTACTGAACCAGGAGAAAACTTGGGTAGGAGCCCTTTGAAAGTTCCCAAAGCTCCTGTGTTCGACGGATCGGACGTTGCGTACCCGTCATGGTCACAAAACTTTCTGCTGAGTGCCCGACACAACAACTTGTTAGAAGCATTTACTTCTGAAGTAGAAATTCCGATCGCAAGCATTGAATTCGACTTGACCCCCTGGGTAGACAAAGGATACAGTGTGGGAGTGCTACGGCAGGCAGAGATGGGATGGTGGTTTTTGTTCGACTGTTTGAAGAAAGACTCGCTGAAAACCATGGCTAGGCATGCAGGTTCCCCCAGCAAGGCATTCCAGGTGTTGAAGGATCACTTTCTCCCTTTGAGCCAGAGTCAGATTCGTGTGCAGGAGAACAAACTGAAGTCATTGCGCATGCGTACAAACGAGAACCCATCCACCTTCTTTGCATCTATGAGAGAGACGCTTGGTATTTTGCAGATGCTGGAAGTCAAGAAGGAGGACAGGGAGGTGTGCACACTGATGCTAGAGGGACTATCCCACGAATACAAGACTTTGCGTGAGACTCTTGTAGTGTTTTGCCCGAACGATCCTGCTTTCATCGAGACCAAAGTACGTGAGCGTTACTTAGACTTGCAGACACAGACTGGTACGAAGAAGCACAGTGTAGCTCTTGTGTCTAGGGCAGAGAGGAAGAGTAGCCGGAAGCCGAACCACGCAAAGTCGAAGTCTCACCCTGAATCTGATTCCTCAAAGAAGAAGTTTCAGGGAACGTGTTACAAGTGTGGGGAGAAAGGTCACATCAAGAAGGACTGCCTGGCTCGTGTGATAGCTCATCCCTCCCAGACTGGGAAATCTGAGAACGAGGACGATGAGACCGGTGAGAGGCTCGACTTTGAGTTGTCTGAATTGTCACAAACCTTGCCAAAAGCCAAATCCTCCAAACGGACATTCCGCAAAATGAGAAAACTGGCCCCGGGAGCGTTCGAGGATACGTTTCGCGAGTACCTTGAGTGGGAGAAAAATCATGTCGAAGATTGGTATGCGGACACTGGAACTGCTTTTCACATGACTGATCGTCTCTCTTGCATGAAGGATTTGAAGCCTTGCCACAAAAACGTAAAAGGGATTGGTGGCGTGACTTGTGAGATAGAATTCTCTGGAACTCTGGAGTTGGTATTTGTAACTGCTGACAGCCAGTTTCCCGTAGAGTTGGAAAATGTATTGTACTCTCCCAACTTGGGATACAACCTCTTTTCTCCAAGCGCAGAGTTCGATGGTGAGTCATGGAACTACCTTGGCGGTCCTGATGGTGTGATGACTGCTTTCAATGGACATGTTACTTTTCAGAATCTCGATGGTATGCTCATTTCGCCTGCGTATCGTCTAGAAAATAACTGTGTTGGTTCAGTGTTGGCTGCCCTCACTCCTTCAAACCCCAAGCATGAATCTAAGATGGATGTGAACGAGTTTCATAACATTTATGCTCATTCGCATGAAGGATTGCTCCGTACAACTGCAAAGCGACTAGGTATCGAGTTGACCGGTAAAATGCATGCTTGTACGGGATGTTCGATGTCGAAGGCATTCAAGAAAGGGATTGCTCATGAAACAAAATGCAGATCAGACAAAAAGTTGGGCAGAGTTTTTGTTGACCTGGGAGGGCGGAAGGACGTTGCGTCCGTAGGGGGTAAACATTACCCCATGATAGTGAAGGATGATTTCACTAGACGTACATGGATGTATTTCCTGAAAAGTAAATCAGACGCTGCGAGTGCTTTCCGGAGTTTCCTTGCAAGTGTGCGTGCTGATGGTATCCCGTCATTGGTTGAGATTGTTAGATCTGACAATGGGGGGGAGTTTTTCGGAGGAGAATTTGCGTCCGTGTGCAACGAGCTCTTGATTAAGCAAGAGTTCACCCCGGCTTACAGTCCCCAATACAACGGTGTTGCAGAGCGTGGATTGGGATTGATTGAGGCGGCGGCAATGGCTGCTCGTATTCAGGCAAAAGTTTTGTTTGGGCATGTGCAATTACCTAAGACTGACAGACTATGGGCTGAGGCGATGCATTGGGCTTGCGAAGCAATTAACCACACAGCTTGTTCCGCTAACCCTGACAGTAAGTCGCCATATGAGATGTGGCATGGTGAAGCTAGTCATGCTAGACCGTATCCGTTTTTGAAACCGGCGTACTGTAGGTGGCAGCGTCCGTCTAAACTGCTACCGAAGGGTGAGGCTTGCTTTTATGTCGGTCCTTCGAGAGACCACCCGCGTGACTGTCATAGAGTACTTACGAGGGTTGGAACTATTCAGGAAACGAGGAATGTGACATGGGAAGCGTTGCCGTCACAACTCCCTCCACCGCAACTGTCTCTCTTGCCGATCGAGGTAGCAGAGGAGGGAGGGGAGGAATGTGATGACGATGTAGAAGCTGAGGTATGGCCGCTTTTAGGGAGAGGAGTTCCCCACATTCTTTTGCGACGTAATGTAGCGGTCTCTGGTGGAGCAATCGATGAGGTTGGCAGTATTGATGCAGGCAGTGTAGGTCAACCCCCCTCTGTGCCCTCTTCGCCCGCGATAAATTCCCCTAGTAGCGCAGCTCCCCCGGTGTCTTCTCCAGCAGACGATGGCACTGATGAGGGAGGGCCGGAGACAGGGGAGGCAGAATCGGCGGGTCCGGGAGGGCAGGAGGTAGAGTCAGAGAGTCAGGAAGAGTTGGTTGAGCCGGGAGGGCAGGAGGTAGAATCAGAGACACTTCCCCCTGCTACGCACGTTCCATCCAATCGTCGTGCGCGGCATGAGCTTGCTAGTTACAACACTGCTGTGAATGAGAATGTTGAAGTCAGAGAAGGCAGAACCCGTGCGCAAACTCGGGCAGTAAATCAGCAGAGCGTACCCGGCCTCATGGCCACTCTAGGACCCATCTCCGCATCAGAAATAATAGAGGCACTCTTAGTTGAACAGAGAGCATCTGATGCAATGGAATTGCCGAAAGTACTCATTCAGGACGTAGAGTCAGAACCGGGTAGCTATCAAGAAGCCCGCCGATCAAAGTACTCCACGATTTGGGACAAGGCCATGTCTGCAGAATTTGAAGGCTTGTTGAGAGCAGGAACGTTCGCGTTAGCAGTAAAGGTTCCAATAGGCTGTAACGTGATAGACGCTAGATGGGTCTACAAATGGAAAGCAGATGAAACAGGCAAGATAGTGAAGGCCAAGGCTAGGCTTGTAGCGAAGGGCTTCAAGCAGAAGCATGGTGTGGATTATCTTGAGACTTTCTCGCCTACTGCAAATGCTGCATCGATTCGTTTGTTGGTAGCATTGGCGTGCAAGTATGATTTGGAATTTCTCCACTTTGACATTGAGCAAGCGTTTGTTCAGTCGGAATTGGATCACGAGGTGTTCATGAAGTTGCCCCCTGGCTGTGAATCGATGACAGGAAAGGTAGTCCGTTTAGACAAAAGTTTGTATGGACTGAGACAGGCATCTAGAACATTTCACAAGAGACTTGTGTCGGACCTGAAGAGGATTGGTTTCGAACAATCTCTGTCTGACCCCTGTGTTCTTCGTTTCATGATGGGAGACGAGGTGTTGGGTATGATTGCGATTCATGTGGATGACATTCTGTATGCAGGAATTGAGAGACTTGCCAAGATGGTTGTGGAAGCGCTAGGTGACTCTCTCCCCACGAAGAATTTGGGCGAGGTCAAGTTCTTTCTTGGTTGCGCATTCGTTCGCGACCGCGAGGCTGGTACGATTGAGATGTCTCAAGAGAGTTACATCAGGAGTGTTCTCGAGAGATTCAATGTCTGTCGCACCAGCTCGATCCCTGCTTCCCCTGCTAACGATTACAGGTCCGTGATGGAGGATGAGGGGGCAGGAGATGTGCCGTTCCGAGAGGTGGTGGGGAGCCTGATGTGGATCGCCAACCAGACGAGGCCCGACATCTCTAATGCTGTGCGGGCGGTGGCGAGGCATTCTCACGAGCCAAAGAGAAGCCACTGGAAGGCGGCCCAGAAGATTCTGAATTATCTTCTGGAGACGGCACATCTAACTTTGAAGTACAAGCAGGACACTATGGTAGACGTAGGCACGTTGGTGTACGTAGACGCAGACTTCGCCAGTAAGGCCACTGACCGTAGATCAGTTTCGGGAGCACTAGTTCTTGTAGCTGACTGTCTTGTCGCTTGGATTTCTAGGACGCAGAAATGTGTCACACTTTCAACAACTGAAGCAGAGTATGTTGCGATGGGTGACGGTGTAAAAGAGGCTCTGTTTGTCAACGGAATGCTCGAGTTCTTGAGGCCTAGTGAGAAGCTTGGTAAGATCCAGGTACGCGAGGACAACGAGGGTGCGATTGCACTTGCTGAGAATCCACTTAGTTCGTGTAACAGTAAGCACATTGATGTGAGGCATCACTTCCTTAGGAATTTGACAGAGGAGGGAGTGTTGGAAATCAGTCATGTCTCTAGCGAAGGACAGCATGCGGATATCCTGACGAAGGCTCTGCCGAGAGATCTTTTTGAAGTTCATCGTAATTTTGCTCTAGGCTCGAGATCTGAGAAGTAGGGGTCTGAGTCGTGTTTTTTTTTTTTTTTTTTTTTATATATATTTTCTGATCGAAGACAACAGCCCCAAGGGAGGGTGTTCGTGATAAGTTGCTGCTGTGTGTGTCGACAGAGTAACGTAGCACAATTTGATTGGACAGTTTTGAATTGCGGGACTGTCGGCGTTGCAGACTGCCGAGTAGCCACATATTATCAGAACAGCGAGGAACGTTCTGTAGGAATGTTCTTCGTGGATAGTGCATCACCCCGAGGATTTATGGTACGTTGATAAGTACGGTAGCCCCTGTTGAGTCGTTGTGTTCCGATATTATTGTGTTCCGGTATTGTGTTCTGCTTTCGTGCGTTGGTCGAGCGACGGGTGGTGCTGTGGTGCTGTGGTGCTCGCCCCACCCTTGCTCACTCTACCTTTTGACCTGTTCTCCTGGTCCAAGGTCTCATTAATACAACATCTTTTCCCCAGAAGCCACGAGTTTACCAACAGCTTCAAAACAAACTAAGCGTACCAGGAATGTACGGCGGAAGGAAGCGAGCAATCGCAACAAACCGATCAGGCCCACGGCATGGCAAATATCCGATAAGGGAAAAGTTTGGCCAAAACAAACCGCACGTTTTCGGAAGGTTACGAAAAATAATACTCCAGAACGAGCACCTTTAACCAATTAAAGGCATTCGGGGGACTGTGTTTAATTCAGGACAAAAAAGAAACCGTGGGATGGGAATACCTCCACCTTGTTTTCTTCCGGTAATTATGTGGGGGGCTTGGGGGTGTCAGAGGTGATTACCCAGTCGACACCTACGCATACCGTTTCTACTCAAATATGTTTTTGGGTGGGCGTACTCCGACTGTCTACTTGTTCCAGGCCAACCAGTATATGTCCCCAGGGGAGCACCAATTTCTTCTTAGTCACAGCAACCAACGAAAATACACAATACCCATGTCATGATGTCATGATCATGCAAGGCTCATACACTTGTTGCTCCATTACATACCAACCTGATGATAGCAGCCTCTCCATCGGTACCGAGTTCGGTAGATGAGCCGGAACAGCGGTGGTGTGAGCATCGAAGGTGGCTTGTGAGAAGGAGTAGAAGGTCTCCGGTCGTGGATACGGTATTCGCTTTTTGACTATTGCTAACGCAGGGCAAGCAAGGAGAAGAGAAGGACGAGGCAAGGGGACTGAGCAACCTAGCCTCTAGACGGGGCCCGGCAAACCGGAACTTACTGCACAATCCCAAAGGTGCATCTCCTATCAACCGTAACAATATAACCGTAACATTCCCCCATTAGCATGAACAGATATTCGTCAGTTGTAGCATGCTAATCAACGGTAGCAGGAAATGTGTAAACCGCAAAGTAGCACACTTCCTTTTGGAACACTACCATGCAATGCCTGGGTGGGCTGAACATTCAACCGAAAATTGCAAGAGGTGAACAGTGGCAAAACCCAAATAAAATCCACTCCTCTTCATAATTCTCACTGCGCGTTGAACCACAGCCCGACATCGACTTGCGCGAAGGAAAACCCGGCCTCCGGGACAAACCCTTCGCTCCCCATCCCGAGAGCCCTAGAATTTAGACATGACAACCGAAAACACCAAGTGACGCTCGGACGTAAAATATTCTAAAAAAAAAGTCCCCCGCACTCGGTGTTTGCCATCGGGATTGGGTTTTCGTCGCTTGGCAACGACGTTGTAAAACAAGCCAATTCACTTTGTGAACTCGGCAACCAGGTTGCTGTTTGTTTTTGTTTCCAATGTTTAGTTTTGCGGTAACCATAATGGTGGTTGAGTAGATCATGTCGTGCGGGGTGGAGAAGCCTCACTCCGCGCAAGGGGGNACAAGGAAGTACGCACAAGATGCCGCACACCCTTAGCAGGATGCAGCGCACCCTTCATGCGACTCGCCGAATATCTCACGGCGCTTCGCGCTTGGTGATGTGAG